TTTCAAAGTCCAGGGAGACTTATTAGGTTACTGCAACTTGGAGCAGGTGGGTATTTACTCATCAACCCCCAGTCTCCCTGCAAAGGAAATCATTTTTTTCACCTTAGAGAGAAGTGAGATTTACTAATTAGTCATGGTGCAGCCTTCCCTCGCTATGATGTACCGCGGGGTTGACTAACTCTAACTCTGCCTAGGCGTCTTAATTCACTAAAGGTCAAATGGCAAAGTGGAAGGTGTGTCCAGGTGTGTTTAAATAAGCCCCAATTAGGGAAAAATGCAAGCACACCCTCAAGTCTCACATATCCAACTTGGAAAAAGCTCTTGGTAAAGTTGGTAAAGCTCCTGAACTGGGCCAATTTTAATGCTGAGGCGTGTTGTAGTACTTTTTTACATATTCGTTGCATAAAGACAGAGAAACGAAAAATAACTTTCACAGACAAACACCCTTGTACGGATATATTTTGTGTATATATACACAAAATTATCAGTCACATATTGTCAGTGTTTACACAAAACCAAGTGCACAACTTTAAATTGTACCTATAGGGTGTCTACAGGTATCAGACACATACATTTAATGTTTTTTAACCAATTTTTAAGCATTTTTAACAAAATTTTACACAGATTTTTGGATAAATCATCTTCTCATTCAAGCGTTACATGTAAGTATTGATGTGATCCTGTGCAAAGGTACATTTTATGTAGGAATATAAATATAAGAGTGACTTGAGTAAATCCACATTTTGCCAACAGGTACGTAAAAGTAGTAAAAACACAGTATTAGGTTCAGTGGTAAGTTTATAATCTGTAGCATCAGAAATGTGGACCTTAAATGTTTGTGGCATGTAATGTTTGTGTCACAAATTCAAATTCAAGCCTATTTAACGACCTTTAAGGCCTAATATTTGTATAATTTAACTGAGGACATTTTAAGACTTTAAAGGACCTGCAGACGTCCTTATTGTACCTCTTATTGCTAAACTGGGTTGTTGCATCATTAAAAGTAGTCGCTGCAATTTTATTTTCGCACCTGAGATTCATCTGAGGGCAAAACATGTAGGACTTTATAGTTTCTCTTTAGTCAGTATATAAAATAAATTCAACATGTAAGCATTCAAAAAAAGCTAAAATAATTGGTGAGCCAATTAAAAATGTACACATATTGTTTTACTATATGGTTCTCAGAGTGCCATATTACAGTCTGACCAGATGTTTGCACTCACTCTGGTTGGAAAATGACATTTTTGTTCAACTGTGCCATATATTTGATAACCGAATTTGATCAATCCTTGATTAAAAATGTGTAGAAAATTACAAATATCTGCTGATTTATCATTTTTTAGAATGTTTTTCCTTTTTTGAACTACCAGCTCTGTATTGTTTAAGCTCTAAAGAGTAACTATAGTGTTACAAGGACACTATGTACTTTATGTTCAACCTTTCACACCACAGCTGAGCAGGATCTCGCCTGCTTAAAACCCCGACTGAGAGGAAGGTAGATTTGGGCTGGATAACTGACAGTGAATTGACTCATTCTCACCAACGGTAACCACTGTGGGGTTTTTTCCATCAGCTTTGGTGTAAAAGATGAAAAAAAAAGACAATTAAGTCCAAAGATACATGCATTAGATTATTTTACTATGCTATTCTAGAACAATACAATCTTCATAAAGCACTGTACAGTATGTTAAATGCATGTCTGCAGCTGTTTTGTTGGAAAACCGTAACTTAGACTGAAGTAACAACTCTTCATTTGCAAGGTCTCCATCCAGCGGTATGTGCTGAGAACTCAGTGAAAGTTAAGAGTTAAGTAAAAAAGCAGAAGTTCATCTCAGGCCAAAAGTTTCTTTCCCAGAAAGTAAGTGCTTGTTCAGGCTGCTGTTCAGTTTAAGCAGGCATGGAGCCTTGCACCGCCTTCTTTGTACCGTTTATGAGGGTGTTATAGATGAGCACACTCCATTTCAAAGTCACTGGTGGATTTGCAGTCAAATTAAAACAGGAAGTATTGCTGAAGCTGTCAATGCTACGCAGCTGAGTGGGAACGGACATGCTGCATGTGCACATCTTAAAGACTGGCTGGGTCACAAACAGTGGGGAAACAAATGCAGGCAAACACACGGCGGTCACACAACACTGCAGTCAGAGGAATCAACTTATTTACTTACCTTTCACACAGCTCAAAAGTAAGTGTTTTAACAATCGACAACAAACGCATAGAGCACTGTGCAATTTCATTTGCAATTTCCCTCTCCTAATGAGGCTCTATTATTCATGTGACGTTGATATTGATGTTGTGGTTGCACCTGAAATCCAAAACCTCTGCAGTCAGTGAGTGGGGTGTGTGTTGTGGCTGTTTTAATGATAAACAAAGGTCTGCTATCTGCAGGCAAAGATCTCACTGGTGGCCCAAGATCAATTGCAAACCTCAAAAATGGTGTTTGAGCAGAGTTTGTTTGCAAAAACCGCCCCGTAAACAAGTCTCATGTTATTATTCTAATATTAGGGCATTATGAATACAGTATAAAGGAGACACACTCAGCTGTGACTAATCGGCAGAAAAAAATAGATCCAAACAACAAAAAACAATCTGGCATATCATCAGAAGCATTTGAGGTGAACTGATGTATCGATATGATATCTATTTAACACGATTACAGTTTTAAGATGCTAGTTTGAGTGAGCATGTTCACACTGCCAGCTTGCAATATGGTAAACTTATTTTACACAATCCACAAAGGTCAACAGGTTTAAATTAATAAAATAAAAAAATAAAAAATACTCAATCTGACATTAATCTACAGGTTTGGTGATTCTGACCTGCCTCCAACACATGCACAAACTCAAAGTGCCTTTTCTCTCTATTTTCATGGCACCAAAGCAGAGGCCCAGCTTAATATGTTACTGACAGCCACTGTTGTGTTACGTGGCATCAGAACACAGTCTGGCTTTCACACCAGCTCTTAACAGTGCACGAAAACAAGTATTTAAGAGGGCAAAGGTCACCTAAACCTTTCAATGAGTCAGTCAGCAGTTACATCACAATATACAGTGCTTTAAAATAAATGCTGCAGTGAGCTGATTTTAAATTTAAAGTCCATTTGTTGTAAATCCTGTGCAACTTTATCATGACGATATAAAAATACATTTTAAGACTAAGAGGCGTCTACAAATGTAAAATAATACAGGATTTTATGTCACTTAAAATACGTTTTTTAATTCCCAGTAAGCGTAATATACATAAAAGCGTAAAAGATTTTATTACATTTAATATATACAGACATAATTGTAAAAAAACAGCAAAGCTGAGATAATTTCGAAATATATGCATAATATAAAATCGTACAAATCAGACATAAAATAGCTGCTAAACATTTTAATGTCGTTTATTACTTCAGGTGAAGTACCGAAAAACTAATTTTGTACTAAATGTTTACAACGTCTGATCTGGTTTAAATAAAACAGCAGTTTATTTAATGTGTGCACCTTCTTTTGATGTCTTTTATTTTACTGTAAATTGTGTTTACTGTAAAACAATTTCACTTCGTCGAGAACACAAAATGCTTTAAATATTCAGCTGGTGAAAATTTCACGTATCATAATGTTTTCACTGCTTTTGAAAATATTTTTTTAATCAAAGTAAATTGCATTTGTTACTCATCACTTTATGTTTAAATGAGGCTTGGATCATTTTTGCGATGAAAAATATAAATAAAAAGCACAACATTTGCGCAGCATGTTATTTTACATTATACTGTTAATATTATATTTATATTACTATACGCGTTGAATTTAATTTCTGCTTCAAAATTTTATTTAAGTCCTTATGAACGTGCATTTTTAGCAATATTAAATATTCCATCTAAAGCATTTATGAGACTGTTTAAACAGAATGAAAATTAAAAAATAAAAATTTCATGTTAAAATCAAAATGCTCAAATAAATAAAAATTAACCGCGCTGCATCTGACGAAAAGTAAATCTATAAACCATATAACAAAATATGATGCAAGTATTTTTCACATGTGCCGTTTGTTCTGCATTCTTTGCAAATTTGTACCACTGAAAAGTTTGTTTACTCCACAAAAATCATGCCTTTTTATGACTGGATTTACGCTGCGAGTTCAGATTTCCTTTTCCACAAGCTACATTATAGTTCATCTCTTTCGCCACTGCCTAAACCTAAAATGGACGCCGCTGGCTTGGAGTTATCGATGGCTAGGACCAGCTAAGGGTCACAGCTGTGCAGTTGTGCTCTTAGGAGGGCACAGGCAAATGGATCCATGTTTTGGCAGGCTGCCAGGAGACTCCTTAAAATACAGTGAAGGCCTTGATTTAAAATATGCCACACCAATGTCAAAGGAAACTGCGTCATTACGCAGCAGAGGCTGGTGAGATAAACAACCCGCTGTTTTACAACAGACAATGGCAGGTGCTGCTGTTGCATGGAGCAATGCTTTGAAACAAGCTCAAATTCTACTCTGTATGTGCACAGAAATAACCCAAGAAATCTTTTCATTATAGCTCAGGCAGCATTAGAGCCCAGATGAAAGCCTGTTTTCTCCAGACATCATCATGATGTTAGACCTCGTGACTGCACTGTGGGTGGAGACAATGAGCCAATAGAAAAACAGGATGAAGATTCAGAGCCCCTCTTGCATCAGCATTTTCCGGCTAAGCCTCAAGTGAAAGTTACGAGATCCATATCCATGATTATCTTATGAAGAGATCACAAATCAGTGTTAATAAAAAATGACTGCTGCTACTGACGAGTGAATGACAGCACTGAATTTGATTAGCCATTTCTCATCATCACATCATGTAGAACTGGCATTGCAAGCCAGAGCTCAACCTCTGTAAATACTGGCCTGTGCAGCCGACTGATATTTCCCCCAGGCAATCGCATTCACTCACTGCAGCACCTTAAAGCATTCCAGGAATAGCTTTTCTCAACTTTTAACGTGCCCAAATGTGCTTTAATGAACAGGTCAACACAGATCTTACCATTTGGGTGGACACAGTCCAGCGTCGAAGGCGTGAAGGCATGACAGGCTGCAGGAAACCATGGAGCTCCTGTGGGGATGAAGGAATAAAAAGCAGCATCAAACAACTGTGTGGCTTGGTAATAGTCTGGATACACATTATGCTGTCACACACAGGGTAAATAAAAAACAGAAAAAAACAAAAACAAAACTAAAGCACAGGCATTTAATTTTAGTTTTGTAGAGTTAGCTTATAACACATTCAAGCTAAATATGCAGTCATAAAGTGAAAATATATAACTAAATACTATGCTGCATAGGTCCCAAGAATGGCTGAAATGATTTCAAAGCAACTAATAATTAAAAGTAGTTTATGGTTGTAAAAAAAAAAAAACACAAGCTGTAGTTCTTCTTGCATTTACTTTAAATAGATTT